TAACAATACAGCTTATAGCTTTTTGTAAGTCAAAAATCAACTTATTCTTTGAATGGGGGAGGAGAAGCTTAATTTATAAGTAAAAAATCAGCTTATATTCACAGCTATAAGGTATAAGCTATAAAGTTATAAGTTATAATCACTTTTTCACAACTCTACCAAACGGGGCTATAGTCTTAAAACAGTGCTAAATAAGTCCTAAAACATGTTGGAATTAAGACAAAAATAACTAGAACAATAAGCTAAAACATGGAGCTATGAAAGCTAGTAAACAAAGCATAAAGAGGGGAGGCTAACCCCTCTAATTTTGGACTTCAAAATAATATTTTAGCCACTGAAAAAGCTCTGAAAATCAGCTTTTAAAAGCTCAAAAAGAGTGGACAAAGAAATGGAAAACACAAGTGTAAAGCTTAGGAGACAATGTATAAAGAAAGGCGGTTAACCCTTCTACCTTTAATAGCCTTAAACCACAAACTTCAGCCCATAAAAACAGTCCAAAAATAGTTCAAAAACAGCAAGAAAAGATGGGAGAGAAGTAGTGTAGGGATGCTCAAAATTATATCTCTTGAAGCAAGGTTACTCTTTTACTCACAAACCAACAAGTTCTCACTCTCAAAGGCTGAAATTTGGACTCAATAATCTCAACAAGGATAGCTCCAATATTGGTTTAAGAAGTGGAGAGAGAGGGTGTATAGGTTGCGAGATAGAGATAGAGAGAGAATTTCAAGTTTTGGAACTTTTTTGAATTTTTTGTAACCTTAAACCATGAAGGAAGGCCTGGCATATATAGAAAAACAGCCCCTCAGGTTGAAAATATCATGCCTGGAATAGCTGGAGGTTTTGGGGGACAGCTGGCCAAAAATATCTGTGTTTTTCACCAGTGGCGGGTAGGCCAGAAGTGTGAATTGCCGGCCACAGAAAATCTGCTTCCAAGCCCGACTTCAAATGGGCATATCTCTTTCATTTGGACTCGGTTTTAGGTCATTCTTGAGTCTAAATTGAAGCCCCAGAAGTCTAATTTTCAATGGTGGTAGCCTCACATCTAAATTCTAAGTATGCAAAGAGAAATTCTTATTTTAGTAAAGGTTGCTCATTTCTATCTTAACCAGGTTGATGCCTAAATTCAAACGGCCATATTTCCCTCATCCGAACTCGACTTTAGGAGATTCTTGAGTCTAAAATGAAGCTCCGGAAGTCTACTTTCCAATGGTAGTGGACTCATAACTAAAGTCTAAGTGTAGAAAGAGATAGACCTGATTTAGTAAAAGCTGCTCAATTCTCTCTCAACAGTTTCATGCTCAACCAATTCCCCAACTAGTTTTCTTCTCTCTCCTTCAATTTTCTTCAACTCCAAACCTCTAAATAAGACGTTTTAAAGATTTTTCAAAGAGTTCACCTCTCTTCCATTTATTTCCACTTTTTCCTTATTCGGTTTACCGAAAGGTGCAATTTTTAATGAAATGCGAGTCTTGGAACATCATAGAAACATTTTTACAAATATTTTGAAATAGAGGGTTTTAAGTTCTAAAAAAGTTTTTGTCCAAAATAGTTTCGGTCCAAAATGGGGTGTAAGGTTTGGATTTAGAAACTCTTCTTGCTGAAAAAATCGAGTGATTAGATACCGTGACTTTCATCATCGAGTGATCAACCTGTGGTGCCCAAGTCTTAAGGGCAATAAAAAATGGGGTGTCTATAGTTATGAATGTCAATGGAAGTTATCGAAATGTACAGAACGTTCACTGGACATTAAGAACATCATTGGAGACTCACCAGAATGTCCATAATATTGCCCGGAAAAAAATAAATAAATGGAGAAATTAGAGCAAAAAAAATAGCAAAATGTGCTAAATGTTGATAAACTAAAAGAAAAAATACATATAACGACAAAAAACAGCAACAATAGGAAAAAACATATGTTATTTTTGAATTTTTATAGGGTTTAAACAAATAATCTTCAATATTGATCAAACTGAAAAACAAGTTTTGAAACTATAATCTGTTATAGTTTCAAAGCAAAAAACTATTAATCAAACTGGAAAACATGTTATGAAACTACAAAATTTTACGGTTCTAAAGAATGTTATGAAATTGCAAAATTTTATAGTTCTAAAGAATTTTATGAAACTGTAAAATTTTACAGTTTTAAACCGTGATTCATTCTAACACCAAAAAAAATTGAAATTGCAAAATTTTATAGTTTTCACTGCCTGTAACTAAAACTCGAAAACAACTTGTTTAGAACTTAAAAATTTTCTTCATTAAAACAGAAAAAGAAAAGTGTATAGCAGAGAAAATGTAGAAAAATTAAGATATTGAATGAGAGGCAGATATAAAGAGAGGATTATATTCCGGCAACTATTTTTTTGTTTAGATCTAACTGGATCTGACGTAAATCTACATCAGATCTAAGTAGATCTACTCATCTTCTTCGTCGGAAACATATCTTCTTCACCGTTGGTGAGGGTGAAGTAAGGAGTCGGCTATCGGTGGTTGCTGGTGAACCCCAATCGATAGTAGTTGTCAGTCACCGGTGGCTATATATCAGAAAGAGAAAGAGAAGAAGTAAGATGTGGTTGCCCGTCGACAATTGCTGGAAATCACAAAGAGCAAAAGAGGCAAAGAAGAAGAATGACAGAGAAGAAGAAAAACATTATAGGGCTTTTAAGTATAAACAAAAGGTTATGAGACTAAATATGATACGCATTTTTCAAAGAAGACTTCTTGGTAATTTTCCCTAACTAAAATAAGCAAGAGAAAAAAAAAATGCTAATAGCATAATCAATGCTTGCCCCTTAGGTGGACAGTGACTTTGCAACCTTTACAACAAAACGCAACATTGTGGTGCCATTTAGGAGCGCAGCAAATCCTGCTGTGCGCTAAGCACAGCAGGTACCCCTTTTCTCTTATTTCTAGAGTTTAAATTAAAATATTTTTTAAATAATTATATTTATTTTTAAATTAAATAATTGTTAAAATTATTTAAATAATTTAATAACCCTTCAAAAAAAATTTAATAACTCATATTTATTAGATTAAATGAATAGATTTGAAATTTGTACATTCTTTTAGCGTAGAATTTGAAATGACTAAGTTAAATTCAATGTCAGGCTAGATCGAGCCTATGGGGGTGTTTGGGAACCCCAATTTTGGCTAAAATATGTTGTGTTTGGAAAGTTGGATTTAGGCTAAAATAATCAATCAAGATAAAATAGATCAAAATAGTCAATATGATAAAATGTTACATCTAAACCATAATTATTTTACTTTTTCTCTTACAATTATCAAATTAATTACAAAAAAAACTAACACACCAAAAATAAACTCTAAACTATACCAAATTTCTTAGAATAATGGTAAGTTTAGGTACCGATCCACAGACACAAACGGGAAATTAAACTAATATAATGGTTAAATTCCTAAATTAATTTTGATAAAAAGATTGAGAGATATCATGACTAAACGAAAATTAAATGAAATTAAGAAATTGAATTGACAATTAAAAGTAGAGTTTGAGATACTGACTTTTGGAAAAATCTTAGGGCAAATAATTCACCATTAACCGCATAAATAAGACTTAACATCAGCAATCAATTGCAATCCGGTTTGAACTACCAAATATTTCACAATTACAAGTTTGAAACATTGATCAAGAGGATTGTTGTATTCAACATACAGGCACGAATCATCCCAAGTAGCATGAGTCGTTTGCTCTAAACTATAATAGCAATATGACCCGTCTCTTGTAGTATGACTTGTCTCATACTTTGAACATAAACACAAAAAAAACTAATGTATGAAAAGTATTAAACAATCACAGACAATAAAATACTTGAAGAGATGAAAAGAAAAATTATTATAAACTTCTAAAACATCCATACATTTATTCAAACCGTTTTTCAATCAAAGCCTAAGAAAAATTTCTTTACATGGCTAGAGTTTCATCAAAATTCTAAAACTGGAAGACCAGCCATTCATAGAGGAGTGGGAAAAGGTGGAAGATGAAGAAGCCCCCATAAAAGTTGCCCTTAAAGCTTGAGAAATCTCTCCCTTCAAACCCTAGCCTTCCTTTCCTTAGAATATTTTCGAACTTGGTTATAGCCTCTTTTTGTTCCTTTTATTCCCAGCAGAAGAGCTTTAGATTTTCCCTAGATGGGCCGCTCGAGCAGTGGTGAGCCGCATGTGTGGTGAGGTGGCAGGCCGGGACTTTTCACTACTCGCACGGAAAATCTGCTTTTGCGCCACTTTTTGCTTGAATTTGCATGTTGCCTGCCAAATCTGTACAGGTGCACAAAACACACCATCTCCACTAAATAAACAAAATTCAAAGACTATAAATGTAACTTAAGCGGCCTCAATGTGATACCTTTCGGCCTACATCAATCCCAAACACAACTTTTTAAACTAAATTAAGGTCTCGTTTGGGAACATGCTATTTTAATAGCTTTTTGGTTTTTTGGCTAAGATATGAAATTAAAAAAAATTGAATGAATTTTTGATTTTTTCGAAAAGATAAGCAAAAAGTAGTGAGAAAATGGAATCTTTGACTTTTTTGTATAGACTATAGGCTTTTTGATTTTTTTAGTAACTTTTTAACTCTTAGGCTAAAATTATTACTTTCCAAACAAGGCCTAAAATAGTTAAAAAATTAACTAAAATAATCTATTCCAAACACGATATAGGGGTGTTTGGTGTGAATTATAAGAGGTGATTATAACTTATTTTAATTTAGAAATTTGTATCAGATTGTTTGGTATAATTTCTACCTATATTTTTTAAGCAAAAATAACTTAAATAAACTGAAAAAAAAGGTAATTTAAAAATTGAGAAATGAATATTTTTTATTTCTATTTTCTGATCATCAATTTTTAACAAAATAGTACCGTACTCTCACTAGTACATAGCGTGGCCCAACTCGAGCCCAGCCCAATGATTGTTGACCCGAACCCATATGCTAAAAGCAAGCAAAAGACGCTTGACACGTCAAGTTTATCCAGTTTGGCTAACCTCAGCGGGATGCGTAAAGTACGCTTATCCGGCGCCAAATTTTCATCCCCACCCACACGCGCACATACTCACCACGGAATTGTAAGTTTATTTTTTGCCCTCTGCGAACCCTAATATTCCCCACAACGCTTTCGGGTTTCGTTTCATCACTCAGGTAATCTCATTCATTCTCCAGTCTCTGATTTCACTCTCTCCACTTTTGGCCTAATTTCTTCTGTTTTCTCGATTCGAATCGTATCTGATTATCACGACTTGCAATTGATGAGATTGAATCGTTCTTTTGTTTCTTGAAATTGAATTTATGCTTCGATTTCCTGTTTTAGATATATACATGTACTTGTCAAACGATATTTCTTTGTATTTTGAAGCGTTTTGTCGATTCGGCTAGGTTTGTATTGAACACAGACTTTTGCATCAGTTTATTCAAAATAAAAATGTAGTTAATCGTACTAATGGTGTTTGATTCTTTCTCTTGCGAATATATTTTGTTGTGGCTCTAGCTATGTGACCGCGGAGGAGAAGTAGAGCATTAAGCAGAGATTTAGAGTTTTAATTGGGAAGATGTAGCATCACTTGAAAAAATGCGGAAATTTAAACCAAGATGATAAAAAAAAAAATAGGAAAAGGAATGCTCAAATGAGAAAATGGTGAACGTGCCGAATATAACTGCTGCGCCAATTAAAATCATAATATACTAGTGTTAAGTTTACATTATATTATATATACTACTGACTAGAAAAAAATGGAGAAATTTAGACCAACTGGAAAGAAAGTCAGGAAAAAGGAAGGCTCAAATGAGGAAATGGTCGACATCCCGAATATAACTTCCAGTAGTTAAAATCATAATATAGTAGTGTTTTAAGTTTTACATTATGATATTATATACTATTTAGTGTTGGTAAATTTTGTAAAAATGGGTAATACACATGGAATACAAGTTACTACTACTAAGTGCTAACTAGTACATGGAGGCATGTTGATCATTCTTCATTTTATCTCAATCATATTCCATTAAAAATCTAGCCATTTACTATTTTTTCCCATTTTTTTTAAATGATACTAGCTTTTCTCTTTCCATTTTCTATATTCTTACATTACCCTTTTTCAAATTAAATTCTCATCATTGCCTAAACCCTAGTTTTCCCAATTTAATTTGTTAAATGTGTCTGTGCATAAAATTGTCATGTTTTTTCTAACACAAGCAAGGAATGTGACGTGAATAGGAATTCAAATGGGCCAGATAAATACCTAATTAATTTTATTATGGTCATGAAACCCAAAATTGTTAGAAATCATCTTTACAGATTTGGGATGGTGTGCCTAATTATGAAATGGGTTTCCACTTTATTGGTTTAATGGCTTCATATCTTTATTGTGTATCTCACAGGTTAGAGTTATAGCATAGGATGGCATCTGTGTCTAGTCAGCCACAGTTCCGCTACACACAACCCCCATCCAAAGTTCTCCATTTGAGAAACTTGCCATGGGAGTGCATAGAGGAGGAGCTGATTGAACTTGGCAAGCCATTTGGTAAAGTTGTCAATACAAAATGTAATGTTGGTGCAAACCGAAATCAAGCTTTTATAGAGTTTGTAAGTATACATTTATTTTTCCACTTATGTTACTCCATTCTTTTGGTAATGTGTCATGGTTCACATTTACATTGCATATCTCTTAACCTTTTTCCAGGCAGAACTAAATCAAGCTATTGCAATGATATCATATTATGCTTCTTCCTCAGAACCGGCTCAGGTACGAGGGAAAACCGTCTACCTACAATATTCCAACAGGCAAGAAATAGTGAACAACAAAACCACTGCAGATGTCGCTGGGAATGTACTGTTGGTAACAATTGAGGGTACTGATGCACGCCTTGTCAGCATTGATGTTTTACACTTGGTAAGTAGTTACATGCCGTCCCCATTGCTAGAAGAGGTAAATTTGTTGCTAAGTGAATGTTGTCTATGTTTTTTTGTGGTTAGGTTGTAAAGTTGTTGTAGGTCATGCTTTGTAAAACTTTTGTTTGACATAAATATGCATGGATCAGCAGGCCCATGTCAAGGATATACCTTCGATGGCAGCTTATTGCATTGGAAGAAAGAGCGCATGTGTGTTTGTCTCCTTTCTCCTTTGCTTAACACTGGCTCTTTCTTCCCTTCTTCTTCATTTTCCCATCCCTACCATTCTAAGAGTTTCAGATGCTTTTATTTTCTTTTGTTTTTGCATCTGATTTCCTTTCATTTCTGCATGTTCTGTGCTGAAATGTCAGGTTTTGTAGGATAATTGTTTGTGCTGCAGTTTTAATACTGTTTCATTGTATTGCCTAATGCAATGATTCAATCCCTGCCATATTGTCATATTCTGGTTCTTATTGTTTATTAGGTTCAGAGTATCACAAATCAGGAAAGTGTGCTCGTATTAAAACACATAGGAACACATGGTAGACTTTGAGTGGGGGGGCGGGGGATTAGGGACTCACTAAACTCATTTTTTTTCATAGCAGTTTTAATTCTTCCTGCCTTTACTGAAGGTAAAGATCGGTATGGTGGTTAAACTTCGGTTAGGATTATTGAGTATTGGTATCCAAATTGAAATTAAAGGTAACTTATTTCTCTTTTGTATTATATCACAAGAGACAAGGCCAAGCCCAACACAATTGTGTATCTTTTTGAAAGAAGAATATTTTTTAAAGCTTAAATACCTAATCCGCTTTGGCAATGTTCTTGAATTCAGAACATTAAACAGGTTAAGGCTTATCAAATTTTTTATGTTGTGTTTTGTGAAGAATCTTCTGGCAAAGGGTATTTCTCATTTGTTTATAAAATTATTATACATGTCTTGAATAAAGAAGAGGGTATTATTAACGTGTGCCCTTAGGGCACAAGTTGAAAGGCTTGAAAGGATTGTACATTCTTTATTGGACTTAATTTCATGCATAATGTATAATCTTTTCAAGTATCTTAGCAACTAACCTAAGAGCACACGTTAACAAAATCCTAAAGAAAATTATATCCCAAATGCTGCATTGACTATCTTTCAGTACAATTCAGAATTCCCCCTAGCTATAGACAAACTATTGATCAGAACCATAGCATGGAAGATGCAAGGTTTGGTTTGAAACTCTGAAATCTTGGCCTTATCTTAAGGTTTTGGATTTGCTTTTGGCTTCCTGTTTTCATGGTAACAACTAATAAGAATATACCTTGGAATCTGGTGGGTAGTAGGCTCATTTTGTTTGCTTGCTAGGAATATTGTAGAGTAATTTTAAGATTAACAATATTTTTTTTCATCTCTTAAATTCCATAGATTACCACGGGCTTGTTTGGTTTGTTTTTCAGAAAAATTTTTGGGAAAAATTATCGACAAACAAATTTTCAAGAGTAATCAAACCAAACAAATTTTTTCAAAAAAAAATCTCAAAATTTTGTTTGGTTACCTACTTTCCAAAATCACTGGCCTTGTTTGGTTTGTGTTTCTCAAAAAATTTTGGGAAAAATTCTCTACAATTAAGTTTTCAAAAGTAATCAAACCAAACAAATTTTTTCAATTTTTTTTTCCAAAACTTGTTTGGTTTGCAAATTTTCCAAACAAATCTCTCTTTCATACACATCAAATCAATCACTTTTTCCAAAACTCTCTCTCAAAATAATTTTTCAAAACATCTTTTGAAAAAAAACCAAACCAAACAAAATTTCGTACTTTTTATCTCAAAACATGTTTCTCAAATACAAACCAAACAAGGCCACTCTCTCTCTCATACACATTAAATCAATCACTTTTTTTAAAACTCTCTCCCCGAAACAATTTTTCAAAATCATTTCTGAAAAAAGGCAAACCAAACAAGTTTTCGTACTATTTATCTCAAAAACTACTCTACAAATACAAACCAAACACACCCCACAGGATTTTCTTGACTTGTGTTGAGTTGCAATGGGAGAGTTTGAGTGGGGTCGACGATGAACTTTGTTTGTTGAGAGTTTGGAGTTACTTTCACAATGAGAAGCAGACAATTTTATGCAAGGAAAACAAGCTTATGTGAATAGCTATGCAAGCGTTAGCATAGAGACTATCAAAGAAGCATGGACACTTTTGAACAAATGCCATGTCCAATGTGTTCCAAGTGTCCCGAATCCCGATGCGCGCCTTTGTTTTTTTTGAGAACATAACACACTTTAGATACTTGGGGGACAAATGTCGACTCTTCGATACACCTCAAATCCATCTCAAGTTTGGAAAAAATAAAGTAATTTGAGGTACTAACAATCAAAATCAAAACAATGGATTTGTGGTGTTGAATAGAAGACTGATGGCACAGTTCTTTTCATTTATCATTCTTGATCTTATATGCTAGGTTGATCACTATGCTCTTTCTTGACCATGATTGTCTATGGCTGACTACAGGTCTAAATGTTAACTGTCTACGGTTGATTATAATTGTAAATTTTAACCCCCAAACATGTTTCTGAGAAGAAAAATGTAGAATGTCATGGAGGTTAAGGGGGTTATTTAATTTATAAGATTATGATGCTAACTGAAGTTCCATTCTATTTTCTTCTTCTTATTATTACTTTTTTGGTGTTTGTGCATGTTAATTATTATGTTGGATTTTTTAAAGCATGCAAAATTCTGATTGTTGTGAAGTGGTGTATATGTATGTTAAAATTTGGTTGCAAAATCATTTTGCAAAAAATGAAATTTTGGATTTGTAATACATCCTAGTTTCTGCAATAGTCCTCAGAAAGGATAAAGGATTGTATTTTCAGGTTTTCTCAGCTTTTGGATTTGTGCATAAGATTACTACCTTTGAGAAGACAGCTGGGTTCCAGGTGTGTTTGTGTGCACATGCATAGGCAGGATTTTTCTTTTTCTTGTTCACCTTTTCCCTAATTTCTTATTGACTTCTTACAAACCCTAACAACACTAGTTCATTTCATATATGAACTTTGCAGGCTTTGGTGCAATTTTCCGATTCAGAAACCGCCTCTTCTGCAAAAGATGCCCTTGATGGAAGAAGCATTCCGAGGTGATGTAGGATTTATTTTTTGGCTTGGGATGTATCAACTGTTATGGATGATATATCTGTAGATGTGGTGCACATACATTGGGGCTGGACATCTATCAGGCCCTTTTTTAAGAATCTACAGTAGTGGTATACACATACTCCTTGTTGCTTGTATCTCTCCTCCCTTGCTCAGTTATTTCCTACTAGCTTTCTGAGCTTTTTCCATTTAACAACATCCTCTTTCTATGAAGGCCCTTATTGATTGTGGCGACTAATGTACTCACAAATTAGGAAACAAAAAAGGCTGCAGACCAAGGCTGACCGAAATAGGTTTTCACTTAAGTAGGCATTATAAATATAGCCTAAAGTGATTCAATCAGCTTCCTTGTCTATACATGCAACAATGTTTTATGTAAACCAATGGTGACATACTTGATGGATAGGTTATTCATTTTTGTTAAAAACTTGCTACATTGGACCATCAAAATTGTAGTTCCTGGAACGTTTTCGCGTTCCAGTGATGAACTGTGTATCAATTTTCATTGTGGGTTATACATGTATTTGCCCTTAATATGTCTGCATGGTAATCAACTGACTTTTCAGTCCTGGGCATGTATCAGTTATTTGATTCCAGAATTGGGACCGTGTACCCTTAAGATCACATATTCAGCGCACACAGATTTGACTGTGAAATTCCAGAGTCACCGTAGCAGGTATATTTGAAGTCTTTGTTTTTAGTATAAATTCTGACATCTTTGATCAGTTCCCTGATTGGTGATGATTTATGTATGTAGTCTGATTTTTGCTGGGTGGACATGTTTTTTGGATCTTCAAGTTTGGTTCAGTTTTGTTCTAAGCTTTTCTTTCACAATTATAACTATACTTTCTATTGGTTCAGGGACTACACTAATCCTCTCCTCCCTGTCGCTCCCTCAGCCATAGACGCAACTGGTCAGGTAAATTGTGGGAATTGGCAGTTAATTGGTTTATATTCACGAGTCCAAGTTAGCCATAGTGATGAAGTGGAGTCTACCATGGCATATAAATTACAGGCAGCTTGCCAAACACATGGCTGATATGTAACGGGTGTCCATTTCCCATTAATGGCTTCCATTCAAATGTAACCATCTATTAGAGGTGTGTTGTGAGGGATGAATTATTACCAGTTGTCAAAACAAAAAAATAAAAATAAAATTGATGGATAAGTACTTCGTTACTTTAAATATTATACTTATTTCACAAAACCCTGGATCGTTGTACAGTTTTGGTGTGAAACCTTTTTTATGTCAAGACAAGATAACACGTGCAATTGGTGGGCTATCCATACTTATCCCAGCAGATTTCTGCATTTTTTTTTAACTCTCTGATGGGTAGTGTTTTTGGCGGTTTAATTAATTGTAGCCACTTGTCATCATTGCAGCTTACTTTGGGTTTGGATGGGAAAAAGCTAGAGCCTGAGAGTAATGTTCTTCTTGCTTCTATTGAGAACATGCAATATGCAGTGACCTTGGATGTTTTACACATGGTATCTGACTTCTCCTTCCGTCTTCTTTCTTTTTAAAAACTCAATGACTATGCCTTTCTTCTTCTTCTTCTTTGTAAGATATCATTATTAAGCCTTTCTGACTATTGATTTTGTGGCATATACTCAGGTCTTTTCTGCTTTTGGGCCTGTCCTAAAGATTGCCATGTTTGATAAGAATGGAGGAGTTCAGGCTTTGATTCAGTTCCCTGGTAACTTTAATTCTGACCTAACATCTCATTGCACATTGTTACCAGTGTTTGAAAATTACTCTTTTGTTGTCTAAATGCTTTGTTTCAGTACCCTGGTAATTTTAAACCTGGCACCTCATTACACACATAATTGTTGCTAATGTTTGAAAATCACTCTGAAGTTGTCAAAATGCCTGGGCAAGCCAATGCAGTGGCCCTGTTATTTGTTAGATAGTTTAGGTGCCTATGTGGATGCCCAAAGCAATCTCACAAATTATATCATTACACACATAATTGTTACTATTGTTTGAAAATCACTCCTAAGTTGTCAAAATGCCTGGGCAAGCCAATGCAGTGGCACTGTTATTTGTTAGATAGTTTAGGTGCCTATGTGGATGCCCAAAGCAATCTCAAATTATATCATGCATGCTCTGTACTGTAGCTGTTTTTTTTGGGTTTCTTTGTGATACTGTTGGTTTCCTTCTCATCTTTGATTTATTTTGTTTTATTATCCTTCTATGGAGATGCCTAAGATGTGAGAGTTTTTAAACTCATCATGAGTAATACTTCATATAGAACAGAATGGTTCGGGAGGAAGTTATTTCCAAATTTAGAAGTGATTTTCGATGGAATGTGAGAGTTACTTGAAATGCTTTTGGTGAGGCCGGAGAATGGGCCACGGTGAAGGATTCTTTTCCTTGGGGGTCGATCCTTTGAGTTCCAGGAGTCGTCATTGGAATCGCAGGGCCATCGGTGGTTGGGGATTGTGGAGCGTGGATCAGGATTACAGTGAGAAGTGATCTTGGTCGGTTTTGAAGTAGGTCGGATTGTGAAGAAATTGAGGGAGGCTTTGTGTCACATTGGGACCCAATCTTTTCTGGGTCGCTTGGATAGGAAATGTCAGAGTGTGGCTGTTTGGATTCGTGGCGAGGATGGTGGGGCTTCGTTTTAGATTGTGGTCACGCTGAACGGCAAGCGGCTCCAAACTTTTATTCCTACTTCGGAGTTTGGGGATGGATGGGAGGGTGTGGCTCTGGTCATCGAGGGATTTACCAAGGGGGAAGGTTGGGTTTCGAAGATAGCTGCCATGAAAGGGGTCTCAGTGGTGCACAAGGGTGTTTCGTCGCGGGTAGGAGGTGTGGCTCCCATCGGCGACAGTGGCATGTTGATTTAGGCTGTGGCGAAGGAAGGGTGGTTTGGCTTGTTGAATAGGGCTTTGGTAAGAACCGTGGGACAGGCGGGGGACAAGGGTGTGGGCTTCTCGGCCATGTCTGAGTGGGTGGATCAATGGTGGAAGATGTCGGGGAGGGTGGAGAGCCGATCGGTGGGGGCTCAAGCTTTTCTATTTGTGTTCCCTTTATGGCGTGAAGCTGGGGTGGTTTTGCGGCATCTGTGGGTTATCGCCGGTTGTGATTTGAGCTTGGAATGGTGGTTGCCGTCGGCTTTATGTGACATGGGGTTGGTATCGGAGAAGATCTGTGGTTGTGGGTGATAGGTTTACCTTTACATCTTCGTGGGTCAGAGACGTACAGGGCGGTGAGAGGTGTGAGGGTTTGGTGGACGTTAATGAACTTTCGGTGGACCTTGGTGTGGTTCGATTGCAAGTTTGCCGTGGTGGTAGTATTCCTACCACGATCTTGCTCCGATGGGAGTCTTGGTGGTATGTGTTACCTGTGTGGCTGGAAATAAGGCTAACATTCGAGGCTGCTCAGCCGATGGTGGAGATGCGAGGTGGAGTTTGGGAACAAAAGGAAGGTCGCATATGGAGGCGTGATGAGTGGCGGATTTTTAGGTCTGAGGGATTTGAGGAATTTGCTTGCAAATACAGTGCTTAGTCCAATTGGCTTGGGCTTCGAGGTAGGCCAACTATGTTGAGAAAAGAGGGCTGGGCCCAGATGGGCCCATATAAATGCAAGGCAGTGGACCAAAGGGGCAAAGTGGGCGCCCAAGCAGTGGGCCCTGCTAATAATGTGTTTAGGGAGTTAGGAGTTGGAGTTCATGGGTTGGGCCCTAATAAATCAGGCTTAGATCAACAGGAACGAGTCATAGCTGGCCCATTGCTGCCGACAAGGGTACAACTTAACCTGTCGATGAATCGTGTCTTCGGTTCGTTGCGTGATGGAATTGGGTCGAGTTGGCAAGTCGAATGGGATGATGATCTGCAGACTGATGGGGTGGTAGCGCAAGATCCGTTGGTGGAGCTTTGTCCATCGACTTTGGGTTTGGTTAGTGGGCAGTTGGCGTCGGAGGACCGGCGAGAGTGTAGTTCGGCACACGTCCGTGCTGACTGTGGGATAATATACGCCCAATAGGCTGTTGGGAGAGGAGATCGATGGGGACACGGTGTTCAACACAGACCAGGCTAGGTCTAAGGTTATGTCAGAGCTGGGATGGCCAAGTTCAAGTGATGCACTGGCTTTGGTGGTTCGACCAGAGGTGCTCACAGATTCTAGGTTGCCAAATTCAGAGCCAGAGTTAGGAGTCGATTTCTGTATGGATCATCTGCCATCATCAGAGGAGGTATCAGATTGGGTGTTGGATCGCATATCCAAGGTCAGTAAATTTTTGGAAGTATCCTTTGAGGGACATGAGGATGAGCTTTGAGATTATTTTTAGCTATTGAAGCTTCATGGACTGGGGGGAGGAGTGGGTGGTGAGGAAGTGCAGTTTGCTGGTCAAACAGATAAGGGGGTCCGGGAGTTACAGAGACTAGAATGTTAAATAAATTATGATAAAAATACAAGCGGAGGCGAGCGGTGGATAAGAAAGGAGTAGGGGTGGTTCCCTTTTGTTGCCATGCGTCTGAAAATTTTGGCTTGGAATGTGCGGGTTTGAATGATCGAGGGAAACGCACGGTGGTGAAGTCCTTGTTGAAGAGTGCTAGGGCGGACGTGGTGTGCCTCTAGGAGACAAAGTTGGAGGCTGTTGGCTCGGAGTGTGTGCGGAAGTTATGGGGCGGGAGGCATGTGGAATGGGTTTTTCAACCATCTTTAGGGGTATTGGGGGGTATTCTTATCTGTTGGGTTAATAGAGTGGTCATGAAAGAGGGGGACAAAGTTGGGGGATTTTCTTTGTCTTGTTTGTTCAGATGCCTTGAGGATGATTTTCGATGGGTGTTCACTGGGGTTTATGGTCCAATTCGAGGATCAGAAAGGGCAGCCTTTTGGGAGGAATTACAGCATGTTGCTTTTAGATGGGGACTGCTGTGGTGTGTTGGAGGTGATTTTAATGCTGTCAGGAGTCCAATAGAAAAGACTGGGGGGGAGTCAAGTGGGGAGGTCTATGTGAGATTTTGCTTCTTTCATTGATGAGATGGAGCTGGTGGATTTGCCTTTACAGGGGGAGGTTATACTTGGTTAGGTGGCTGCGTGGGTTCTTGCCTTGATAGATTCTTGGTTTCTAGGGACTAGGAGGAGCAAGGTTCTGAAAAGCGGTTGTGGTCGCCGTAATGGTGGCGGTGGCACGGTTGCGGTTGCGGGGTGTAAAGGCCGTAGCATAACGGTTGCGGTAACCGGAACCGTGAATTTTTTTATTTTTAGCATAATTTTAAAAAAATTTACCGATACACGCATATTTTTTTTCCATGATCATATTTATTGGGTTTAAAATAAATATTGATCAATTGTTGTAAATTTTTAAGTATGATCCAATATATTTTATATTTTTAAATCACTATAAAATGAGTTTTTTATATTTTATTTTAATAATTAATGACTTTATATTATACAAAAAATCAATCACTAACTATTATATATAAAATAAACAATGACAGCAAAAGTAGAGAATAAATAAAGACACTAAATATATATAATACTACTAATACCATACTTTTGCCCAAGCCAAAGTAGACAAACTGATTACATTTTTTTTTATTCATTTATTAATTAGATATGATGACACACCAAACAAAATAATTGAGTGATAGCAGTCTAGTAGAATCAGCATAGGTCTTTACAATTTTCTAACAATGCAAATAACATGTCTTCATATTCCCCTTCTCTGCTCTATCTCTTTGCTCCTCATCTTCTCTCTTTATCTTCTTTCTTCTCTATCTCTTCCATCATATCTCTATGCTTTTTGTTTTTTTGTTTTTTTCTTTTTTTTTTCTATCTTCTTTTTCATAAAAGAAACAGTTTGGAACCGTTACGTAATGGTGTGTAACAGGCTGTTATGACCGCTACGACAGCCGCTACAGCCGACACACCTGTGAATCTCAATCACACTGCAAAAGCAGCCGTAATGGGTGGCTGTAACCATCAAAACCGTTACGTAATGGCGTTACGTAACGGTTGCGGCCGCTTTTTAAAACCTTGAGGAGGAGCATTTTTCTCAGATGCTACAGTGCAAGTTGCATCGTCCGACTTCTGATCATTGGCCTGTCTTGTTGGATAGTGGGGGTGTCCAAAGCGGTCTCTCACCTTTTCGGTTTAAGAACATGTGATTACAAGCTGCTGGCTTTTCTGAAAGGGTGGTTGGTTGGTAGGGGAGTTATAATGTGGTGGGTTCACTTAGTAATAGATTAGCTCAGAAATTGAAACTTCTTAATTCGGATTTAAAGAGGTGGAATGTAGAGGTTTTTGGTCGTTTGGAGGTTCAGAAGCAAAACATTTTGTCAGTTTTGCAGGGTTTAGATGAGCGGGAAATTTAGGGGGATCTTTCTGTGGAGGCTATGGCAGATAGGGATGTGGCTTGGAGAGATTATGCGAGGGTTGCTCGGATGGAGGAAATTAGTTTCAGGTAGAAGTCTCGATGCTTGTGGTTGAAAGATAGGGACCGTAATACAAAAATTTTCTATCACATTGCAAATGCTCATCTTTGAGTGAACCAGATAGGGAGAATGCAGGTCAATAGGGTGTTGCTTTTATCGGAAGAAGATGTTAGGGATGGTATAGTGGCATTCTATCAGCATTTTTTCGTGATAAGGGTCAGATATGGCGATCGGGATTGAATGGTGTGGTTTTTTATTCTATTTTTGTGAAGGATGGGCTCTTGTTAGAGAGGCCTTTTACTGAGGAGGAGGTCTTCAGTGCGTTAAGAAGTATGCTTGGGGATAAGGCGCCGAGCTCGGATGGTTTCTCCATTGCCTTCTTTTTTTTTAGCATTGTTGGGGGGTTAAAGGGGAAGTGTTGGAGGTGTTTGAGTAGTTTCATCAAACTGGGCAATTTAAGAGGAGTCTGAATGCCACTTTTATAGGTTTGATTCCCAAAAGGGGGAGGGGGGGGGAGGATATTAGAGACTTTCGGCCTATTAGTCTGTTGGGCAGTGTATATAAATTTCTGGCTAAGGTTTTGGCTAACAGGCTTCGGGGGGTGTTGGAGGGGGTGGTCTCAGAATCTCAGAATGCTTTTGTAGATGGGTGGCAGATTTTGGATGTTTTGGTGGCTAATGAGTGTGTGGACTCGCAGTTTCGGCAAGGGAAAGGGGGTATTATCTGTAAGTTGGATATTGAGAAGGCTTACGATAATGTCAATTGAAAGTTCCTGCTATACATGTTGGAGAGGTTGGGTTTTGGGGAATGGTGGAGGAGGTGGATACATTTTTGTATCTCCACTCCATTGTTCGGATGTCTGTCCTAATTAATGGGACACCAGCGGGGTTCTTTCCCACTTGGAGAGGTGTACGGTAGGGAGATCCACTGTCCCCATCAGTGTTTGTTTTGGTGATGGAGGCATTGAGTCGATTGTGTTCAGGGGTGGTCCAAGGGGGTTTATTATTGGGTTTTGTGGTGGGGAAGGGGCTTGCCTCTTTAGTGGTCTCTCACCTATTCTATGCTGATGATGAGTTGATTTTTTGTGATGCGGAGGCTACTCAAATTGGCAATCTACGATGTGTTTTGTTATGTTTTAAGGCAGTGTCAGGGTTGTGGATTAATTTGTCAAAATCAGAATTGATACCTGTGGGTAAGGTGGCTCGATTACTGGTGTTAGCCGTTGTCTTGGGTTGTAAAGTGGCAAGGTTGCCAGTTTCTTATTTGGGACTTCCCTTGGGGGCTTCTTTTAAGGAGACTCAAGTGTGGGCTGGGGTGGTGAACAGAGTTCAACAATGTTTGGCAGGGTGGAAGCATCAATACTTGTCAAAAGGGGGGCGAATTACTTTGATCAAGAGTGTTTTGTCCAACATTCAGACGAACTTTATGTCTGTGCATGTGACTCTTGTAGGGGTGGCAAAGCGGTTGGAGAAGCTGCAACGGGAATTTTTGTGGAGTGGGAGTGGGGGTGGGGAGGGTTTTCATTATCATTTGGTGGCTTGGGAGAGGGTTTGTACTTTGAAGGAGCGGGAGGGGTTTGGGTGTGCGGAAATTGGTGGTGTTTAATCGGGCTTTATTGGACAAGTGATTATGGCGTTTGGGTGGTGGCGGCTAAGTATGGGGAGGAGTGGGGGGGTTGGTGTTCGAAGAGGGTGGTTCAATCTCATGGTTGTGGTTTGTGGAAGGGAATTTGGTTGGGGAGAGAGGTGTTTTGGGAAAGGGTTAGGGTTCGGTTTAAAGTGGGAGGTGGAGAATGAGTTTGCTTTTGACAAGATCAATGGTGTGATGGTGTGATGGTTTGACTTTGGTGACCATGTTTCCTTTGATTTTTGCTATTGCTATTGCTGGGGAGGAGCTGGTTGCTTCGGTTAGGGAGAAGAACGAGGAATCAGTTGGTTGGAATATTCGTCTTCGTCGTGATATACTGGATTGGGAGCTCGACCAATTAGTGGATCTTTCAGGCTTTTTGTATGGATTGCAAAATGTGGGGGATGGGATGGATTCTTTAGTATGGGATGTCCGGAGCTTTGAATGGGTTTTATCAGTGTCCTCTTTTTATGGGGTGTTTGTAGGGGGAGTTGGTGGGGTGTTTCCTTGGAAATGTATTTGGGCAATGGGTTCTCCTTCTAAGGTTGCTTTCTTTGTTTGGACAGCTGCTTTGGGGTGTATCTTTACTATTGATAATTTGATCCGGCGGCGGCATGTGTTGGTAAATTGGTGTTGTATGAGTTGTAGTGACACAGAAACGGTAGATCATTTGCTTCTTCATTGCCTGGTTGTGTCTAGGCTTTGGAATTTTCTTATTGCTTTGTTTGGCTGCAACCGGGGTCTTTAATGGGAGTGTTACAAAGTTGGGGTGGGACTAGGGTGTGGAAGCAGCTCCGAAAGGCTTGGGTGCTTGCTTTCCATTGTTTGCTTTGGTTGGTTTGGTTAGAACGGAATAGGTGAGTGTTTCAGGATGAGTGTCTCTCCGTTTTATGGCTAGAGAGTTGGTTGTTGATGATATTGCATAGTTGGGTTACGGGTACAGTCGATCCCAATGTTTTGGTCTTTGTAGATTGTGTAGGGTTTGATTAGTTAATTTTGTTTATTCCTTTTGTGGCCTATATTATTCTTTGCATTGTGAATCTAGGTTACATTTCGTGGTCTCATTTTTTGGGCAAGTTGAACATCGTGAATCTAGGTCGGTTGACTAGATGCCAAATGCAACATTTAATCAGAGAACATACTGTTTTCTTTTGTGTGTACACTTTAGACTTTTCCAATGGTTGCTAGCATCATTACATGTGTTGGACGCAATAATGTGTTTTTGAATCCGTGTGGCTTGTGCTTTGTGGGGAAAAAAATTTCCTGAAGATGATCTAGGGTTCTATTGTAGAAGTATCTGATTTGATGTAGAAAAACATAGATGCATGATTAGTTCTGTGATTGTTTTCATGAAAATTGTGGGTTTTCATGAAAATTGTTCTCTTAAGATCTCCATAATTTTTTCAAGTTTATTTTTGTATGGGATAAAAGAGAAGTCATATTAGTTGACTTTGTAGTTCTCAACATTTTTGCATCTGGTTGAAATTTTAAATTTCTTTGAAGTCAGTTTTGGTTAAATATGGGTACATCCAGGATTAACTTTATATCTTGAAATATGTAACATCACAAGAAAGATTAATATCTATTCCATTGTGTCACTGAGTCATGGTTTATGCATTGCTTAAAGTTATTGGGTTGTTGAATAAGGTGTTGATGGTACAATGGGCTTGCAGATGTTCAGACAGCGGTTGTTGCCAAGGAGGCCTTGGAAGGACATTGCATATATGATGGAGGGTTTTGCAAGCTTCACATTTCATATTCACGCCACACTGATCTCAGCATAAAGGTACTGAACTATACGCTTTTCATAACACAAGGTTTTTTGTAATATCTTGGAGATTTTGTGGTTTTTTTTTTTAAAAAAAAAATTTCGTGAGAATGTGATGCAACATTTGTATAATATATATATATATGTGCTACTTCTATGCTGTTTGTTTAAATTGGGCATTTGGCCCCATAATGTTATCGGCCTCATTCACTTGTGACAACTCAACCTCTTTTAATGCAGTAACAATACCATATGTCATCTTCATAAATCTCTAGGAACTCTACAACAGGATATTATGTTTAAGTTGGGCGTTTGGCCCCATAATGCTGCCTGCCTCATTCACTTCTGACAAATCAGCCTCTTTTAATGCAATTACGATACCATGTCATCTTCATAAATCTCAAGGAACTCTACATCAGGATATACCTTTAATTTTGTAGTTGCTCTCTCTCTCTCTCTGTGTCTGTGGGGCCATGCACCAGTACATGGTGATGATTGTTCTTGCACAGTGCTTCATGTGGGTTAGGCACCCCCACGAGCAAGTATATCTGGGAAACTGCACAGTTCTCAGTATGACAAGTTCACATTCTCAATTCGTGAATTATGCTTTTGCTGTGGCAATTTTGCTTGCCATGTCTTTGGAAAGTGTCAATTAACTTGGCACGGATCTCCAGCATTTGGATCCTATACTTGAATATGCATTTTTTCAGTAATAATATACTCGAGTTCAATGATTCATGTTTTCTAACAACAGTGAGATGGTCCATTTCCACTTTTTTTTTTTTATTATTTATATAATTTAAAATTTGTATGTATATTGACGCAGCATTTAATCATTGGGAGCTTAATAATGATTTCAGGTCAATAATGATCGAAGCAGAGATTATACAATCCCAAATGCTCCCATGTTGAATGTTCAACCCTCGATTCTTGGTCATCAACCACTTCCAATGGGGGGTATGGGCTCTCATCATCAATACAATGGGCCCCAGTTTCCCCAAGCTCCTGAAGGGCTTGCAGCACCTCAGCCTTCAGCAGGCTGGGGCACAGTGCCCCACCAGTCCATGCCAGTACAGATGATGCATAGTAACCACCCTTACATGAGGCCTCCAACTACGACTCCTGATATGGCCCCCGGGATGATGCAGTTGCATAGCCAAAATGGCCTACGGCATACAATGCCCCCTTATCATCATCCACAATAACAAAATTTTTTCATGAAATTCTTCTTTGTGATCTTTGTGGGGATGGCAAGCTTCAGCGATAGTGTGGAGTGTGCTTGGTCAAAGATGGATGAGTCGGGACCAAAGTTGCCTATATGGGGATCTTGTATTTTCGAAGCCTAATTTTTTTGTTTTGTTTTTGTTTTTTTTTTTAAATTGTTAAAATTAAATTCTGAAAGTGAGATTCAGCCAGTGAATGGCTTGAGAAACATTGTAGGTTTGCAACAATGCTTAAAACTGTTTCCATTATGGTTAGTGTATGATATCTTGATACCTGCCATTTTGTGACCTCTTATATAAGCTGGCTTATAAACTGCAGGTAAAGGAGCCATTATGGGTTTTGGTAGGGATTCAAAAATGAAAAATTTTCCTTTCCATTTCAAATCTTTATCGAAATTCGTGATCTAAACCCAGTGTTAATATCTGAATTCTGAACTTTTGTATCCTTTTGGCTGTGAGATTTGTGGAGGAAATAACAATGGGAAAAGAGGGTGTTAATATCTGAATTCTGAACTTTTGTATCCCTTTGGCTGTGAGGTTTGTGGAGGAAATAACAATGGGAAAAGAGGGAGAAAAATTAGGCTGTGCTTGGTGTTGTTTTGGATGATTCCACCCCTCCATTTGAATATGATGTGTAGTTGTAACTTTTAAAAATTAATTTCACATTATTTATGAAAACTCGTTTTAGCGCGGGATTTGAATTTTGAAATTTGGCCTATCCCGTCGTCTTTTCGGACATTCGGCTGGTCGTCTAGCCAGTTGATCGGAACAATGTATTTTTTTTTTTGGCAATTGACACATGTTATTTTTATATATTAAATAAAAAATATTTTTTGAATTTTTTGAATTTTTTTTTGAGCTAGAAGTTTGGGTTGTGCGTTTGGTTATGAGTTATAAATTTTTGAATCAAATATTATATATCACATCAATTATTCCAAACTCAATACAAATTTTTTTTCAAAAAACTCTTAATTAAACAAATTTTTTACATTCAAATCATAATTTCAAAATTCATAAATTTATAATATAAGTTTATTCTCAAATTATAATTTTAAAACTCTATTAAACATAACTTTAATTTTTCTATTTTATTTCTGTCTTCTTTTTCTTTTACAAATCAAAGATCCTAATACAATGTTACCTTAATTTGATATTCCAAGTTGCCTCTAATTCTCTATTTATATTTGCCTAAATTTTGATTATTTTATAATGTTTGATCATTTATGGGATTTTAGGGCATTGGGCTGGGTTTATGCATATAGTCCATGAGCTTAGACTAGAATGGAAAACAGGTGTGACTATGAATAAAACTGAATGCTAGCTGCAATCACAATACAAATTTAGGAATTGAAGATTATTTAAATAATTTTGAAATTTTGAAAGATGTAGAATATTCATAAAAGAAAGACTTATAAAAGTCTCTTATCCTATTTACTTTAGCTCACCTTAAGAAATAAGATTTTTATTTATTTTAAAAAGAATTTATATATATTACATAATTTATTAAATTATATATATATTATATATTATATATTATATAATTTATATAATATATTAAATTGAATTCGGGTTCGGGTTGCTCGGGTTGGCCATTGGTTCTGCCCAAGCCCGGCCCGAATTGCAATTCGGGCATCAAAAATCTGCCCAAGCCCGTCCAGATTACAAGATATAGTTGCCCAAGCCCTAAAAAAACTCGGGCTGAGCTCGGGTTGCTCGGGTTGAGCCCGCCCGAGTTGCACCCCTAGTTTTGGATGATTCCACCCCTCCATTTGAATATGATGTTTGGTTGTAACTTTTAAAAATTAATTTCACATTATTTTTGAAGCGGGATTTGAATTTTGAAATTTGGCCTATCCCGTCGCCTTTTCGGACATTCGGCTGGTCGTCTAGCTAGTTAATTGGAACAGTGTATTTTTTTTTTTTTGGCAATTGACACATGTTATTTTTATATATTAAATAAAAAATATTTTTTGAATTTTTTGAATTTTTTTTTGAGCTAGAAGTTTGGGTTGTGTATTTGGTTATGAGTCATAAATTTTTGAATCAAATATTATATATCACATCAATTATTCTAAATTCAATTCAAAATTCTTTTAAAAAAACTCTTTAATTAAATAAATTTTTTACATTCAAATCATAATTTCAAAATTCATAAATTTAAAATATAATTTTATTCTCAAATTATAATTTTAAAACTCTATTAAACGTAACTTTAATTTTTCTATTTTATTTCTGTCTTCTTTTTCTTTTACAAATCAAAGATCCTAATACAATGTTACCTTAATTTGATAGTCCAAGTTGCCTCTAATTCTCTATTTATATTTGCCTAAATTTTGATTATTTTATAATGTTTGATCATTTATGGGATTTAGGGCATTAGGCTGGGTTTCTGCTTATAGTCCGTGAGCTTAGACTAGAATGGAAAACAGGTATGGCTATGAATGAAATTGAATGCTAGCTGTAATTCTCTACTTATATCTGAGGTCAAGTTTGGGATGTTCTAAAAAAGTTAAAAAGTCAAAAAGTTACTCAAAAAGTTAAAAAGTTAACACTATTCACCAAAAGTCAACAATTACGGCTGCACAACTCCCAATCCTAATTTTCCCCTACAAACCAATTTTTACAATTTTTTATTTTTACAATTTTTTATTACACATTTTTCAATAAAAAGTCAAAAAGTTAACCCAAACATCCATATTTTCAACCTCAATTTTTTAGTCCAAAAAGACAAAAAATGCACTTATTTAGTCTTCCCAAACTTGGCCTAAATATTGATTATTTTATAATGTTTGATCATTTATGGGATTTTAGGGCATTAGGCTGGGTTTATGCTATAGTTCATGAGCTTAGACTAGAATGGAAAACAGGCGTGACTATGAATAAAATTGAATGCTAGCTGCAATCACAATACAAATTTAGGAATTGAAGATTATTTAAATAATTTTGAAATTTTGAAAGATGTAGAATATTCATAAAAGAAAGACTTATAAAAGTCTCTTATCCTATTTACTTTAGCTCACCTTAAGAAATAAGATTTTTATTTATTTTAAAAAGAGAAGAAGTTTAACTCATATCCTCTTAACGAGAAATACAAACTCTTCGAGTTTTTTTGAAAGTTTTCAAATCTAATTTTTTTTTAAATTTTTTTGAAAAAATATAATTTTAAGATTTAAACAATTTAAAATTATTTGAAAACATGTTTTTTAAAATATGAGATGAAAAAAAAATGTTTAAGATGATTTTTTAATTTTTTACAAAAAGATGTATAAAAAATAAAATAAATTTTTAGTATTTGTTATTGATTTATTTATTTTTTTAAACTTTTTGAAATCCCTTGATTGTTTTTAAATCCTCACAAATTCAATTTTTTATTTATTTATTTTTTTTAGGACAAATTACATATACCCGCTCGAGGTTTGGTTAAATTACAAATACCCTCACGAGATTTGAGAAATTACAAATTTCTCCCTGAATGTTATATTTGCATAACAAATTAAGAGGTAATTTATTATAAAATTTAAACATCAAGAGACAAATTGTTATGAAAATACAAACCTTAAGAGGAGGGATATAATTTTTAAAACCTCAGATGAATATCTGTAATTTAACCAAATTTTATTTGAAAACATGTTTTTTAAAATATGAGATGAAAAAAAAATGTTTAAGATGATTTTTTAATTTTTTACAAAAAGATGTATAAAAAATAAAATAAATTTTTAGTATTTGTTATTGATTTATTTATTTTTTAAAACTTTTTGAAATCCCTTGATTTTTTTTTAAATCCTCACAAATTCAATATATATATATATATTTTTTTAAAAACTCACACCTTCAATCTTAGAATTGTATTTTAAAATAGCCTACTTTTAAATAGAGGTACAAGTCAAAAGTGGACCTAACTTAGCTTAGTCGTGACACAGAAATGATGTTGATTAATATGTACATATACATATATATTGAGACGAACCTAAACCTCAACGAACTACTATAACTAAACACCACACCTTAGCGCCAATTTCAATCGAGATAAGGTTTTCTCTTCATATTAAACTTTCTCTCTCTCTACTCTCACTCCTCTCTCTCTCTCTGTCTCTCTGTGGCTCAATTGTGTGGTTCACACGCTCAATACGGAGAGATTAGAGAGAGAGAGAGAGAGAGAAGTGAAGTGAATTCACTACCGGCAAAGAATCTTCGGTAAACCCTAGCTACTATGACTGCTCTTCAAGCTTCTCTCCTGTGCAAGCATTCATCACTCTCTCATTTCTATCATTCGAAACACCTTCAACTTTCTCTCTCTAACAATCGTCGCTCTTCTTCGTTCTATCTCTTTACACTTGATGATAATTCAACTTTTCTCAAATCTCGATTTCGTCGCCGCCGTCTCGTTTTCTCATGTACACTCCATCCTGAGGATGTGAATTCGAGCCCCGAATCGAAAATTTCTGATAATGATTGGATTTCGGACTTGGGAGAATCTCGAGCCAATGAAATTTCAGGCGAGAATAAGAGGATTGAGGGTGGGGATCTTCCGAGTGTTGGTTCTGATGTTGAAAGGGAGTTGAGGTCGGAGAATTCATTGGGGAAAGGAGATGCGAAGAGTAGGTTGCCTGTGGTGGTGTTTTTGATGGGTTTGGTGGCTGCTGCGAAGCGGCTAATGGAGAAGGTGTTGTTGTCGGATTGGTTCAATTGGTGGCCGTTTTGGAGGCAGGAGAAGAGGTTGGAAATGTTGGTTGCGGAAGCTGATGCAAATCCGAAGGACGCAACAAAGCAGAGTGCTTTGTTGGCCGAGCTCAATCAACACAGGTTAGGCTCTCTATGATCTTCAATTTGGGAATTGTTTAGTTGATTTTCTCTTGGTTTAGTTTTAAGCATGATCATTATGATTTAGAGCGCAAATATCATTTTAGAATAAAAATGATAAAAAAATGTTCTAGATTATGAACATTTTGACTAAAAAAAAAGAGTACATATTTGAATTTATATATTTACATCAAAATAAAAGAAAAAAACATGATTGAGGATGAAAGAAAAGACCAAAGAAAGGAATAAAGAAAATGGAGAAAGAAAGAAAAGGTAATCAGAAAGCAACTTGTGTTACGGAATATAAAAATGAATAGGGAGAGTTGATGCACACTTCACGCATGAAATATGTAATTTGTTCCATGGGCAGTGCAATTTGAGTGGGTTGAGATGTGAAGTAAGTGTTAGGTTTAAATATTTTATTACCAAGCAAGAAATACAATAGACCTCAAATCATGCACGACAAATTTGCCAAAAACAAGAAGCTCACCAAGGTGAGGAGCACTAGAACACCTCACCTAGGGGGCTACCAGCTAGGAACACACAAGATTACTCAGTGCCATATCCAAAAACAACAAAAACTATAGCTAGACAACTCAAATGGTGGGGAGTCTGGGGATTCATGTCCCCCACAAGCATGGGCAGTGCTACATTAAAGCTTGGGGGGTCAGTTGACCCCATCAACTTGGAAAAACTTACTAGATATGTGTATATATATAAGTTTTGAGTGAGATTCCTCAGGTGATCCCATTGAGGTGAATGAAGAAGTATATAAAAATTAGATCTTGGGTCAATCTAGTCAACAAACAAAAAATTGCACCACAAATCTCATGCAACTGTAAAGCCCATAAACTTGCATCTTTAGCACTATTGAAGCATATGGATTGGAAGGAATTTATTGCCTTTTGCCTTGTTTCTAAATAAAAAAATGAATTTTTTTATGAAATTGGAATGAAATTGAGCTGAAATCATTGGAATTAAGGTTTTAGTTTTGCAAATTAAGGTATAATTTTTTTATAATTGTGGAAATTACATTTAGTTAAGATTAAAAAAAAAAAATTAATGCATAAAGTCTATTGAGGTTGGTTTTATGCAATTTAACCCAGGTGTAAAAAAAAAAATTAAAAAAAAACGCAATGACCCCACCAAAGAAAATTCCTGGAACTGTCACTGCACGCAATCCAAACTTCCAAATGAAAAGATGGTTAGATTATGGGAGTCACTCTCATTCAGAATGATTCATGCCACAAATGTACAAAAGTCAAAAGGAAAAATAAATTCTGCTAGGCCTATTGCAAACTTGTGAAATGCCTCAAATGTATAGCTTCCCACTAAATCTCCAATTCCCTTCTGCAACGGATAGCAAATGAGGGGGGCATATAACGTTTCAATAATGCTACAGTGACCACATTTATCTACCATGTTGTGTTTACCATCTCAAATTGTGTGATGACACTCTAGATGGTAATCAAAACATGTGGATAAATGTCATATTTTTAATATTATTTATGACATTTAGGACAGTTATGTTTAGTGTAATTTCTTTGAGCCACAACAAAATAAAATTTTCAAATTTTTAGGCTGGCAGCTGCCCCCTCTCGAGCTTGAGTGGCTCCGCCACTGCATAGGAATGTGATTGAGCTGGCGAAACTACATGGAAACTTAGATGAAGTAAGCCATATGTAAGAGAGAAAATTTTAGAAGCCAAAAAAATGAAAAATGTAGATGGACTAAGTTGATGTTAGAGCGCTCTCTCTCTCTCTCTCTCATAGATAAAAAAATATACAAGTGAAAGTAATTTCTTTGCATTATATGGTATTTTGTGAAAAATGTGTGAGTGACTATTATTTAAAATTTTCTTCCAGTCCTGAGGCTGTGATCACGCGATTTGAACAAAGGGATCATGCAGTAGACAGTAGAGGAGTTTCAGAATATATTCGAGCTCTTGTTGCCACTAATGCCATTGCTGAATATCTTCCAGATGAGCTATCTGGAAAGCCTTCTAGTCTTCCTACATTGGTAATTAATTGTGATTCATTATTATTTCTTGTGATATATTTTAGTTTTCGCATGATTGGTATGTATCAGTTTTAGCCTTGTCTTGTACAATTTGGCAGGCCTTGATCAATGTTAAAACTATGAACTTCAAGGAATATGTGAACACATGGTCAACCCTCTAATGTATCAATACTGATAGTTGTAATTATTTATTATTATCACAAGTTTTGGGGCTCATACCATGTTGAATAATTAGTAATTCCATTACCAAATAATTAATTGTTTGAAAATCTCTTTGTCATGGTACTAATTATGAGAACATAAATATGTAGGCTTACATGAAAAATAGTGGCAACATAAATGTATCAATAATAATAAGGGTGGAGCTTTATAGTGATTTAGATAAGTATGGTATATATATATATATATATATTTGGGTTTAATTCTCTTTTTGGTGAAAAATCCAATCAGCCTTGGTGATATGTGCGCTCAAAATCATTTGTAAAATATATATATATATATATATGTGCACTCAAAATCATATGATTGTAAAAAGGTTTTTCACTAATAAGACTTAGTAATAATATTTGATTATTTAATAATTTTTGTCTTCTGCCTTATTTAAAATAGTAATTATGATAATAGGGTGGAGTAGGTGTAGTGGTAGGTTTTGGTACATTTTAACAATAATATTTGATTATTTAATAATTTTTGTCTCCTGCCTTATTTAAAATAGTAATTATGATAATACAATGGTAAGTTTTTAGTCTCCCAAAATTTTTGTTAGATAGATTTTAATGGCACGCAAACTGTTGGTGCTGGTATTCCAAAATGCTGGGTACAAAACCAAGAGTTTGAAGTAACATGTATTATTACGTCTTAAAGTTTCTGATGTTTTCTATGTCCATCTCTGTTTTACCAGTCTTGGTGTCTAGGTTAGAGCTTAAGAGAGATTTTCTTTCTTGCCTCCTTTGTACTTTTCTTTTACATTCTCTCTTATTTATTTTTAGTAGAATGGGTGAGGGAGGTTCATTCCTCCATAAATGTCGAGAGTGATAAATTAAAAAAAAAAAAATTAAGGTGCTTAAGCTCCCTTTTTGGCTTGTCAAAGCTATCCCATCAAGCTTCCTTTATTTCATTGCATATGTTTGCCTCTATTATTATTTCTTAGATTGGTTTTTCTCACTTATTGGTTCAGATATTTTCATCTTTGTTAGCAGTTTTTTAGAAGGTTATATTGGAATCATTTTTAACATGTTTGTAAGCTATAGTCTATAGAGTTTATATTAATGTTGTAGTTTTGCCACTAATTGTAAAAATTTACATATAGTTGGAAGAGTTGAAGCAGCGTGCATCAGGAAACATAGATGAGCCCTTTCTGAGTCCTGGCATATCTGAGAAGCAGCCATTGCATGTGATGATGGTGAGGACTAAAGAGTTATATGAAAATCTAGTCCTATTTCTTTTTCATATACGAAGATTTGCGTCTTGTACTAATGTGGCATGGCGTAATCTGTGGTTGTGCAATTGAAGATTGATAATCATATATTGTATGTCTCATCATTTTATTTACTGGGGAATTTTTGTGTCTCCGTTTGTTTTTGAATCTTACCATATGTTGTTTTCTCTGTTAGGTTGATCCTAAAGTGCCAAATAGATCGTCGCGCTTCGCACAAGAGCTCATCTCAACAATCTTGTTCACTGTTGCTGTTGGTTTAGTGTGGTATGGGCTTTTCTTTCATCTACTGTAAATTTATATACAATTTTTTTGTGTCTCTCTAGGTGTTAATAGATTTCATTTCATTTATGTGTCGTGTCTATATAAGAATATCTTTTTCTTATTTTAAAGGGTAATTATCAAATAAGTCCTATGTTTTCCTTAAAATTTCTATCAAGTCCTATTAACACTATGGTTAGAGGGTTGATTCGTGTGTTAATAGGACTGAATGGAAATTTCATGAGGAAAGTAGGACTTATTTAATTTTTTTTTCCCTATTTTTAATTCAGAGAATCATGTTTTATTGAATACCCTAAAGTTAAGACAAAAAGGTTCAAAGAGAGATGAAGGGCTTGATTATTGAACACCACTTCCTCTCACTTATGTGGAATACACTGTTTGAGAGAATATTTGCTGCTTATATCCTTTTGCGATTTTTTTGAAATACTGATTCTTCTTTCAGGGTACTGGGTGCTGCAGCACTTCAGAAATATATTAGTAGCTTGGGTGGGATAGGAACTTCGGGCATGGGCTCAAGTTCTTCTTATTCCCCAAAGGAACTGAATAAAGAGATTATGCCTGAGAAGGTAGGTTTATGGTTGTGTCTATAATGCTCCAGTCTTTAATGACTGCTGGCCATGAGATGTCAACCGTCCTCATTATATTGTTTATTCCATGTTGAAGGGGACATACTGGTTTAGGCTAAATTTGGATTTTCAGTGTTTTGCAGGAAGTAACAACTGTATATGAGAGGTTGAAGTTAGTCTAAAATTAAACTGAATAAGAATATTTTCAGCAAAGGGGAACTATAATCATATGGCATACAATTCTATGTTTCCTCACTTATAACAGTTTGTCTACATTTCCTCAAGATTCATGAATACTATTGCGTAATGTGATTAAGGAGCAATTGATGAAGTTACATGTATGAGAGTTGTCAAGGGTCATTGCTTTGCACAATTTATTGCTTGAAATTATTGAAAGCATAGAGTCCTGCATAGGACTGCATTCTAATATGCAGATAACCGCACACCTGAATATGCAAGTATTAAAATCTTTCAGTCTGAATTTTAAAATGCATTTGACAACATACCTAGAATCACCACTTGTTGACACTGTTTTACTACTTTACTTTATTATCACTAATCACTTATTCCATATAGTGTTGTACATGGTTTCATGTAATTTGGAGTATAGTTTTATCCTATGTCTCAAATTTATTATATTCATTCGTCATAATGGATAATTTTTGTTGTTCAAATTAACTAGTCATAGTTTGCGTAAGTAGTCCTGATGAATTGGTTTCACTGCAGAATGTTAAAACATTTAAGGATGTTAAAGGTTGTGATGATGCTAAACAAGAGCTTGAGGAGGTAGTAGAGTACCTAAAAAACCCAACAAAGTTTACCCGACTTGGGGGGAAGTTGCCTAAGGTTTGTTATGATGTTTTGTCGTTTGGAAATATATTTACTTGCTTCAAATGGTCCTCTTATGTATATAATCTCTTCAAAATGTCATCCTTTCCTAGTGGAGCACTTGGTGAGTGATCAACTTCTGTAGGTAGTTCTTGATGTGTATGTATGTAGATCTGTGTACTTGGTAAATCAGATACTTGCAAAAGTACACATCTAACAGCTCACAATTCTACAGTTGACATGATTTCTCATGTTATATGATATCCAACTGTTTCTTGAATTTGGTTTTCCTTGTCTTTAGTGTTCAATTGTCATGGATTAATTTTTTTGGCAGCATCCTGTTGAATGCCAAGCCTGTGTACTTTGCTAAAATTATTGTCCTTTTTAATTTACTTAGTTTGTTCAGTGTTTTACTGTAAGTATGATACATAAATTTGCAGGGAATTCTTTTGACTGGAGCACCTGGAACAGGCAAAACTCTTCTTGCAAAGGTAAGGTGTTGGATATTCTTACAAATGGTTCTTAACATGTTTTGTGGGCTTACTGTAGGTATTTAACTGGTTGACCTTTTGATAAGCTGCTAGGGATCAGGGTTCATATCCATGTTTCTGTTCTTTTATTTAGTTTTTTGGTCCTTTTAACTACGATCCTTGATGCCATGATTGGTGAATACGATATTGCAATTTGCATGATATTCAATTTGAAGTTTTGTAGTCACTAAATTCAGTTCTACTGTGTCCATGGATCTTCTGCAGTGCTCAGCAGTTATGAACTTTAGAAGCTCCTAGGTCTGAATTGAATCTTTAACAATTGGATAATTTGTGATTTTAGTACAAGTTGGTTCTCCTTTTAAACCTTACTCACCTCGATAAAATAGGCACATATGGAACAACAGCATATTTGTATCCATTGGGAAGAACAGTTGGATAATTTCCTTTAATTCTTTTGTTACAGGCATTCTTCTTCGATTTTATTTTGTAATTAATAGGTGCAAACCCATGCATGAATCAATCAGGACTGTTATTTATCTTTCTAATCATGTGATTAAAATGTCATTTATCAGCAATGAATTTCTGTGTTTATGGCTTGCTTTATCATTTTCGGTGATGGTGGAAGTTCTAACATTCTGTGAATAGTACCTTGCTAAATTTGTGTGCCTCTGTTTCTAACAGTCCATTTGGTACAAGGGTGGAGTGTGAGGAAGGAAAAGGGAAGAAATGAAGGGAGTTACCCTTGTTTGTTTGGAAGGAGAAGGAAAGCGCTACCATTCTCTTTCTGCCCAACACCACACCATTCTCTTTCTGCCCAAAAGTGAGTAGAAAGGAGGGGGTGAAGGAAGGAAACTTGTTTATAGTATTTTTGCCCTCAAATTTTTTTTTTTTAATGTGTCAGATCCCTTCTTTCTTTCTGCTCAACCAAACAAAAGGAGGAAAGGACATGTTCTGTTCCCCAGTAGTAACTTGTTAATGCTCCCATCTTCCCTTCAATTTTCATCACTTGTATCAAATGGGTACATTTATATACTTCTGACTCTGGTGAATGCATCTGGAACTTTGAAGGCTATTGCTGGGGAAGCTGGGGTACCTTTCTTCTACAGAGCAGGTTCTGAATTTGAGGAGATGTAAGTAATCCATTTTGCTGCTATATATATTGAGTTACTGAAAATGTGGCTGAACTTGTGATTTTTATTGCCACCTTGAGGAATAACAACGTAGGGAAACAAAGATATTTGCATTTTATTTTTTATTTTTTTGCTGATTTGTGATAAGAATCTTCAAGTTATTGTTACACAAAATACCACTTCCTATCGGATTACTCTGTTACCTTGTAGCTAAAAATTGTGAAGATATAGAAAAAAGCCTTGCCCCTTCCCAAGGATGACAACAACCCAAGAGGAAACTGTTGTGTGAAACTAATTTACACGGCACTCTAGATATTTATAAGTTTAGAAATAAAGTGATGATGAACTCTCTGTCTGTTTCTGAGAAGATTAAGATGCTTGTTTTTCTAAAAGGTTTTACTTCATTAACTTTTGCATACATTTTATTATGCCTCTATTTTCAAATAGTGTGAAGGCAAGTAGTAGCAATTTCAGGATCAAGTGACAATGTTAGAGGGAATGGATTTTTGTCTATTTTCTTATCATTTCTAAAGTATTTTCATATGCAAGCTAGTCATCAGTTGGGGTTTGAACTAAGAGTTACTAATCTACTATTTTAGGTTTTCTAGACAGTGTATGGCTTCAGGCTGAAGTACTTGTCATGTTTCTTTTTCTCTGCTAGGTTTGTTGGGGTTGGGGCTCGACGTGTAAGATCCTTATTCCAAGCAGCAAAGAAGAAGGTTTGTTAGTGCAACTGCTGCAATCTTTTGTGATGGTTCCAATCCGAAACGATAAATATTTTATTACTCTTAAATGAATAATCGTGGCAATGACTGTTTCTGCATTACTTATAAATGTTGTGATTCTTGTGCCTATTATATGTTGCTCATGTGCGCAAACATACTTATATCAGTATGTTTTCTGTTCTTGCTCATCTAACTGTATTGTGCTAGAGATTTAATTTCTCAAAGAGACTTGAAGATTCGACTGGTTTGAACAAAATGAAAAGAAAAAATATGAGAAAACTACAACCAAGACACAATGGTGCTAGGATAGGAATAGAAAAACCTTAACAAATGTTTATATATGTGATGCCTTTCGACCCAGTCCATGACTTGAGTCACTTGCTAATACCTGAATATGTTGTGTCTGATAGATCTAAAAGATAAAAGTGAAATTGGTGCAAATAAATTCTATATTTTGGCAACACCACGCTTGATGTAATTCTTCATTTGATTCTCTACGTAAATTGTTGGTTGATATCGCAATTTGGTGGCATTTCAAGTTTGCTGTCGGCAAGTTTATTTTCAATCCTCCATCAACCACTTCATATATCTTTTTCAAACCTTCAACCTCAATAGATGTACATGGAAGCCATAATCGCATCAACCCACCACCACCTATTGGCAGCAGCCACCGTCCTCGCAAAGCTAGGACTATCCTTTATTCATCTTAATATTTATGTGATTTATGTCTCTGCTGATTTAAGCCATTTTGATCAAAGGCTATTAAAGGGGCACTTCCTTGAGTGATTGAGCTGTTCTTCCAGAAAACTGTGCCTGAGAAACAATGTAAGGAGAAAAAGGAGAACAGATGATTGCTTAGATGTAATTTCTGGTGTCTGGGGTAGGCATGTAAAAAGGACCTGAGGCTTGTGAGCTGGCTCGGATCCCCTGAGCTGACCTATTTTTTGGAAAATAATCAAAAATTTGAGGGCCATGCAAAAGCCCAGTTCAAGCCTGGTTTAGGCTTGATCTTAGTTGCATGAAGCGGAAGTAGGGGGGCCAGGGGACATAGAAGAGTTTAAGGTTGTAGAGATGCCTATGGGAGCAGTTATATATTTTAGATCGTCATTATACTTGAGACAAAGAAAGAAGAAGACACTTAAAAGTTCGCTGAACACTTCACATGGAAAAATGAGCACTGTGGCTGAGAAACTTCCTCCTGGCCCCACATTATTTCAAAAATTGCCATTTAAGAATATGGGTCAACACTTTAGACCTTCATTGTACTTTGAAATGCTGCCATGATTCCGACTTGCGACACTTGATATAAGCACTACCCATTTGCTAAACTTTCAGATGTCATAACGTAACTATGTGGTTGAAAGTACCTTTTTATTTGATTGATTCTGAATGTTTAATAACGAATTCAGAAGATATTGTAAGGGTTGGCATCCTTTTTTATTTGAGTCGAACAAAAAATGAATGCATCATGTTTATATATAAAGAAACCAATGATGTGCTCAACAGTTTCACATGTTGAGAAAGCGAGTGATGCTGAATCTTTTCTTTCTTTTTTTTTTTCTTTTTTTTCTTTTTTACCCCAGGATCTGTCCCCAATTCTTAACATTTGTATGTTTTAGAAAGAAACTTACTGATTTTCACATTTACTTATTACTGCTTTAATAGGCTCCTTGCATCATTTTCATTGATGAAATTGATGCTGTTGGCTCCACACGGAAGCAATGGGAAGGCCATACAAAGAAAACATTGCATCAGTTACTCGTTGAAATGGATGGTTTTGAACAGAATGAGGTACATATGGATAAGATTGTTACATTAAAGCAATGAATATCTTTCATGCATGTTTAATATAAAGATTAACTTTCTTTTAGGGCATAATTTTGATGGCTGCAACGAACTTGCCTGATATACTTGATCCAGCTTTGACAAGGCCTGGTAGATTTGATAGACATGTAAGTTCTTTGATGATGCATAGAAACTGTGCGGTCTAATGAATGATATTGTTTAGGAATACATGTTCTTATTTTGAAAAATATTTGCAGAAACTTGAGGAAGTCTATTTAGTAATGAGCCCCAATTTGGAGTTTTTCTTGAGATCTATCTGTTATCAGTCTAAGCAAGTAAAAATTCTGTTGTATCTTAAGGGTGAATATTAACAAGAACTCGTTTCTAGATTGTTGTTCCTAATCCAGATGTGCGGGGTCGCCAAGAGATATTGGAGCTCTATCTACAAGATAAACCATTGGCTGATAATGTAGATGTGAAAGCAATTGCTCGTGGTACACCGGGGTTCAATGGGGCAGGTACATCTTAAGTTAATTATTTGTGTCTCCAAAAATGAGAACACGAGTAATTTTTTCTTTTTTTCTTTTCTGACAAAAGCCAATGCTAACTAGTGTAATTTATCTTTATTTATTGTTAAATACAACTCTTTCTTAGAAAGTGTAACTGAAAATAAAAGGAAATCACGGCTCATAATTAACTTACTTTGTTTACACAGTGACAAATAATAGGATCATGTATTTGGACAGGGGTACGACACAATGGTGCTAGGATAGGAATAGAAAAACCTTAACAAATGTTTATATATGTGATGCCTTTCGACCCAGTCCATGACTTGAGTCACTTGCTAATACCTGAATATGTTGTGTCTGATAGATCTAAAAGATAAAAGTGAAATTGGTGCAAATAAATTCTATATTTTGGCAACACCACGCTTGATGTAATTCTTCATTTGATTCTCTACCTAAATTGTTGGTTGATATCGCAATTTGGTGGCATTTCAAGTTTGCTGTCGGCAAGTTTATTTTCAATCCTCCATCGACCACTTCATATATCTTTTTCAAACCCTCAACCTCGATAGATGTACATGGAAGCCATAATCGCATCAACCCACCACCACCTATTGGCAGCAGCCACCGTCCTCGCAAAGCTAGGTCTATCCTTTATTCATCTTAATATTTATGTGATTTATGTCTCTGCTGATATAAGCCATTTTGATCAAAGGCTATTAAAGGGGCACTTCCTTGAGTGATTGAGCTGTTCTTCCAGAAAACTGTGCCTGAGAAACAATGTAAGGAGAAAAAGGAGAACAGATGATTGCTTAGATGTAATTTCTGGTGTCTGGGGTAGGCATGTAAAAAGGACCTGAGGCTTGTGAGCTGGCTCGGATCCCCTGAGCTGACCTATTTTTTGGAAAATAATCAAAAATTTGAGGGCCATGCAAAAGCCCAGTTCAAGCCTGGTTTAGGCTTGATCTTAGTTGCATGAAGCGGAAGTAGGGGGGCCAGGGGACATAGAAGAGTTTAAGGTTGTAGAGAGGCCTATGGGAGCAGTTATATATTTTAGATCGTCATTATACTTGAGACAAAGAAAGAAGAAGACACTTAAAAGTTCGCTGAACACTTCACATGGAAAAATGAGCACTGTGGCTGAGAAACTTCCTCCTGGCCCCACATTATTTCAAAAATTGCCATTTAAGAATATGGGTCAACGCTTTAGACCTTCATTGTACTTTGAAATGCTGCCATGATTCCTACTTGCGACACTTGATATAAGCACTACCCATTTGCTAAACTTTCAGATGTCATAACGTAACTATGTGGTTGAAAGTTCCTTTTTATTTGATTGATTCTGAATGTTTAATAACCAATTCAGAAGATATTGTAAGGGTTGGCATCCTTTTTTATTTGAGTCGAACAAAAAATGAATGCATCATGTTTATATATAAAGAAACCAATGATGTGCTCAACAGTTTCACATGTTGAGAAAGTGAGTGATGCTGAATCTTCTTTCTTTTTTTTTCTTTTTTTTCTTTTTTACCCCTGGATCTGTCCCCAATTCTTAACATTTGTATGTTTTAGAAAGAAACTTACTGATTTTCACATTTACTTATTACTGCTTTAATAGGCTCCTTGCATCATTTTCATTGATGAAATTGATGCTGTTGGCTCCACACGGAAGCAATGGGAAGGCCATACAAAGAAAACGTTGCATCAGTTACTCGTTGAAATGGATGGTTTTGAACAGAATGAGGTACATATGGATAAGATTGTTACATTAAAGCAATGAATATCTTTCATGCATGTTTAATATAAAGATTAACTTTCTTTTAGGGCATAATTTTGATGGCTGCAACGAACTTGCCTGATATACTTGATCCAGCTTTGACAAGGCCTGGTAGATTTGATAGACATGTAAGTTCTTTGATGATGCATAGAAACTGTGCGGTCTAATGAATGATATTGTTTAGGAATACATGTTCTTATTTTGAAAAATATTTGCAGAAACTTGACGAAGTCTATTTAGTAATGAGCCCCAATTTGGAGTTGTTCTTGAGATCTATCTGTTATCAGTCTAAGCAAGTAAAAATTCTGTTGTATCTTAAGGGTGAATATTAACAAGAACTCGTTTCTAGATTGTTGTTCCTAATCCAGATGTGCGGGGTCGCCAAGAGATATTGGAGCTCTATCTACAAGATAAACCATTGGCTGATAATGTAGATGTGAAAGCAATTGCTCGTGGTACACCGGGGTTCAATGGGGCAGGTACATCTTTTTTGTCCTCTTGGATATACAAACCATAATTTTCCCTCGATGTGTCACCAATCAAACTGTTTCTACTAGGAATGGTGTGAGATGTGGTAGGACCTGCTTCATCTTCTTCTCTCGTTTAAATTTCTTCTCAAACAGATTTGGCAAATTTAGTAAATATTGCTGCCATTAAGGCTGCTGTTGAAGGTGCTGAGAAGCTAACAGCAGCAGAGTTGGAGTTTGCAAAAGACAGGATAATTATGGGTACAGAGCGGAAAACGATGTTCATTTCGGAAGAGTCTAAGAAGGTAGGCATGTCATTAATGTGGAAATCTAGCATTAAGAGTTGAATGTGACTAGCTTGGCTTGATGTTTTGTTTCATTGTTGTGAAGTCACATCTTCGGTCCTCAGCACTTCTTTCCTTTACCAATTTTTTTTAAAAAAATTCTTTTTTATAAATAGGCTTCTATTGTTGGCCTTATCTGGGATTCTGATGACCGCCTTTTGGTGTGTAGAATCTCTCCAGTTGTGCAGTTGAGGTTCTCATGGCTCATTCTTATTAAAGGATGAGGCTAGCAAAGCAAGTTTGCATATGCAAACATGCTTTCTAGCCGTTGAATAATGATGGATTTTAGGGATATGAGTTAAAACTTAAATGGATGGAAGAGTAACTCCATTGGTGAGCTGGTAGCCACCTAATCAATAAAGAGAGAAAATTGGGTTTCACTGGGACTCTGGGAGTTCAAAGCAAGTTTTGTTTGATCCTAACTAGTATTCTTGTTCTGGTAGGGATCATTTCACATTCCATCCGATTTCCCAAGGGTTTGTTTGCATTGGAATTGAAGGTTTGAACCCTTCCATCAACTTTCCAGCAAACATATTCCTATAATCAATTGTACATGCATCATGTATATTTGCCAAAATATATGTGAATGTTTATAGGAAAACTAGAAGTAATCTTTCTGTCACAAGAAGACAAATTCCAATAAAAAACCAACAAGGAGAGAATCCATAGAGTTTATGTTTCAAAGAGTCATGTTTATAGGCACATATATTTATTTCTGCCATTGTGCTTAGGCAATGAAGTTTATTGACATAACATCTACAATTGGATTCAAAAAAGCATAGACCTTGGGCAATTTGGCGAAGAGAAAACTACTCAAATAGTCTGTTAGGCCAAAATTAAACCATGGAAATGAGATTAAGAGCCTGATCTCAATAATTAAGGTAAAATGTAGTGCAACAAATTAGATGTCGACTAGAGTGGTTAGGATCACTTGAACTTTGACTTTTCATTTATGATATGGATTTCCTGACTTTCCCTGTTCACATGTTACTTGCACCCTAATGTACTGCATTTGAAGGTTTACTTTTCGGTTTTGTTAACCTCTTCCGTTCAGAGTTATTCACAGCATTGATATTGTGGTTGACATTGCCTTTTTCAGCTCACTGCATATCATGAGAGTGGACATGCACTTGTAGCCTTGAATACTGATGGTGCACATCCAATTCACAAAGCAACGATCATGCCACGTGGATCTGCTTTGGGAATGGTTACACAACTCCCTTCAAGTGATGAGACATCAATTAGCAAGAAGCAGTTGTTAGCACGTCTTGATGTTTGCATGGGAGGAAGAGCTGCAGAAGAGCTTATCTTTGGTCAGGACTATATCACCACTGGAGCGAGTAGTGATCTTCAGACGGCTACAGAGCTTGCCCAATACATGGTATTCCTTGTTTCTTCAAAAAATCATTTTCTTTTTTCTTTTCTTTTTTTTAATTTAAAATCTGGTGACTCATGATTTGGGAAAACAAGTTCTTATATATATAATATATGTAAATGGGAGTTACCAGTTACTGTAAGAGTATGCTAATGTGAAATGGAAATTCCTAGAGTTCCTGGTAAATTCTTAATTCTCTAGTAACCATCTATGAATTTACGGATAGCTTCTTTATTCTAATCAATGATGCTATGGCATTGATTTGATCTGCAAGGTATCCGCTTGTGGGATGAGTGACACAATTGGGCCAGTTCATATCAAAGAGCGACCGGGTTCAGAAATGCAATCACGCATTGATGCCGAAGTATGTTTTTGAAATCTGCATTTCTATTGCCTAAGTATGTTTTTGGAATCTGCATTTGTATTATGATATAGTTCTGCGCCTTAATGTTTTTGTGGGTTGCGCAGGTGGTGAAACTTCTAAGAGAAGCATATGATCGCGTGAAAGCCTTGCTAAAGAAGGTTTGTCTATCTATGAATCTCCATAAAATCATAGATTGCGATGATAAAGGAAAAGCTTAGAAAATTAAAAACAGATACTTTGATTCGTCTTCTTGATCAAGTCCTAGTTTCCAGAAGACTAGATTATCTATTTGCTTTGCAGAAGATCTATATTTATCATTATGGTCTAGATAGTGGTCCTCTTATTGGTGTCTTTCATCATACGACTCTGATCTTCCTATTCACCCTATTTACCTTACATCTGATGATCCTATTCTATCATCTTGTGCTTTTGTTTATTCTCAAATCCCGAGCCTAACTAACTACAACTTTCTGACAATTTTCCCAGCACGAGAAAGCATTACATGCATTGGCAAATGCACTTTTGGAGTACGAGACAGTAAGTGCAGAAGAAATCAAGCGAATTCTTCTTCCTTATGTGGAGGGACGGTTGCCAGAGCAACAGCAACAACAGCAACAGGAGGAAGAGGAACTTGCATTGGCTTGAGAGGCTGGATTTATACTTGTGTAATCTTACCCTGCTAAGGTGGGGAGCTCTGTACAGTGTATACATAGCACAACAGGTAAATATAGAATCCTATGACATGTTTTTCTTGTTGTAACATGTCAAAGGATTTTCTGTACAAACAAACACCTCTGATGTAATCTTGTGCCCCACATTAAGAATTTTATTTGATAAAACACCATCTTTCATTTGAACTAAAACCCCATTTTTTTTTTTGGGTAGGAATAGATCAATTAGTTCATGTAGTTGTTGAATTATCATGAAAAAAAGACAGAAAAAAACTACTCTAAAGTATATATACATATAAATATATTTTGCACTAATATACTTGGGACATGTAGTTGCTGAATTGTCATTTTTTTTTTGTGGCATTTGTGTCCTTTCATTATCGACTAGGCACATGGTGGTAATTTGACAAGTCAGAAGTAACTAATTAGATAAAGCTTATAAAAATAATAAATTTAAAGTCACATAATTTTATTTAATAATATGTTTATAAAACGTATTTGAAAAATATAATAAAATTATGCAATTATGATTTCATCAACAAATGGGCAATTATGGTAGTTTAATTAATGACCATCAAAACACAAGAAAGGAATATTTTTCTTATTTCATTTTTTACTACACGAAAAATATTAATAATAAATTTATATTAATAAATACACATTTAACTTTTACTCTGTCTTTGATTAAAAAAAATTGATAAAAAATCAATTTATATGTAATATTTTCAAAAATCTAATTTTTGTTTCATTCTCTTTCCTTTTTCTTTTTCTTTTTTTGTTTTTTTTCACAAATGTATATTCAGATGCAAGATTCCAATACAAATGACATCCTTTTAACCACTAGTCAAAAAATTTAAAAAAAATGCAAAAGTTGAAAACACAAATTATTAAAAAAATAATAATAATAAATGAGGAGTGATTGTAACAACTACAAGCGAGGTACCCACAAGACAAGAAATTCAGCTCAGACAAGTTGCAGATCTAAAAATAATAATAAATTTATAATAATAAACAAATTTGTCTAAAATGAAGAGCATTGTTCAATTAAACTAAAACAAAATTGCCAAAGGGTACAGCCAACAGCCAGCTTGTCCTCCTAGTTCCTTTCATTTATTTTAATTTTTTTCCCTTCAGATTCCCACCTCCTAATTGTGGTTATATCCCAACTGCCAAAGTTAAATATATTATTATTTCCTTTCTATTCCTACCTTCTATTGTGGTTATATCCCAACTGCCAAAGAGTTGAATTACCACCCCATCTGTACAATAAAACACAGAATGAGACACAAATATCTCATAAAGGATGGATCTCACATGAATGGACACGAATATTTCACAAGAAATGAGTCACACATGTGAACCTCGCATCATGTAAGACACATCTTTTATGAGACGTCTGTGTCTCATTCTATGTTTTGTATATATGCACTTAGCACTGCTGCTATCAGTATCATAGAAAACAGCTATCCTATCTTACATAACCATATTTATGTACATTTGTGGCCTAATATGATTGTTTGTTTCGATATTTAAATATAATAGTTTTGAGTTTTTATATTGACACTTTCTTCGGATGGTATATTCTTCATATAGAGGAATATTGAGTCTCACGAGACAGGGTGAGATATAAAATGAAGGAAACTTCAATTTATACACCTAACACAATTTTATTTTATTCGATTTTATTCTTTTCTTTTTTTTTTTTTCTCAATTCACACCACTAAAATTTCTATAATGACTTCATCTTCATCATTCATCCCCAAACCTTGACCCTAAATTCATTGACCACTACCAGCTCCCTAGCCTCATCACCACCTTTGCTTTAGCTCCCCTCACTTTTCTGTCACCCTCCTTTCTCAATCTACCACCTCGAAGGTGGGGAAGGTGAAAAAGGATGAGAAAGGCTGGGAGAGGCAATAAAGAGGGTTGGGAGAGGTATGCGAAGGTGTGGAAAGGTGAGGGGAGGTAGCGCAAAGGTGAAGGAACGAATTGGGGCTGGTGGGGCAGCAGTGGCTAAGGTTTACAACAACAACCAACAATGGTGAGACTGTGTATCTCTTTGTTGGTTATTTTTGTGAGGGATAGAATCATAATCAAAAAATATACGTAGAATAATGTCTAGTAACATAATAGATGGTGTACAAATAGAATTTTCCAAAATGAAGAGACTAAGAGAAGGGGTGATTCTATTTATGTTGGCTACATATTTTGTATAAACCAATCACAGTTTAACACGTGACAGGATGAGAGTAATACGGGAAGACAATTCAAATCTTCAATCGTAATCACACACGTGGAAGTTAGTATTGGTTATTGTGGATCTGCATAGCATGGAATCAACAGAGAGGTGTAAGATGACGTGGCTTTAACGGTTACTCATATTTAAATTCAAAAATCAGGAGGGAAGCCCAACTGCAGACATGGCACAGTGGAGCTAACTGTGAGGAAACATGATCAACAATCATGGAGGGATGATTCGACGGTTAGAAGATCATTTCGACGATTATCATTGAGAAGTATAAATAGCAGAGAGGGTCCCAGAAAGAGCCCCAGACTCAAATCCAAAAAATCAGTTTTATCAACTTTATTTTCTTTCCAGTTTTTATATTTCTTGTTCTTTACATTCCTGTACTTCAAATTCCTGCACTGCACTTCATTCATAGGAGTAGTTTCAAGTAGTTTGTCGCTGTAAACCTCTACGAGGCTGATTCAGATTTTTGTAAGCCTTCCATTTTACTTAATGAAATGCTACAATTGTTCTTCATTTAATCATTGTTTGCTTAATCCTCCTAAACAAAGCCACCAGTAAAAGTCCTCTTCATTGAGGCTGAAAGAACTAAAACACAATAGTCTGATAATTGGTTGGCAATTAATATTCTGTAAGGACTGATTGATCATTGCTAGCACGCTCAAAATTACAATAATAACCTTCGAAAACCAAAAAGTCAACATATATTTTTGGCACGCCCAGTGGGACTAATTGAAATGGCTAGACGTAGGAGACAATGAGAAAATGAACGCTTAAAAGAAGGCGTGGAAGGAGAGGTAGAAATGCCTAATCTAGAGGATAATGTGATAACACATCCCGTGGAAGTACCTGTTTTATCAGAACCTATGGTCGAACAAACCAGCACTTCGGAACAAGTACTACATGTTTAAAATATTGGACGAGGCCAAGGAATTGGACCATCCACTGTTCCATCTACTCAGCAAATGAATCCATGAAGTGGCCTAGTAGATGCCATGGGACAACAATTAATGAACACAATGGAAATGTGGGCAACATTCTTCATGGATCGAATGAATACCCATCAACCAACAAACACAAGACATATGGAGGAAATTTCAAATGTCCCTCAACAAAGACTGGCTAGAGATAATCAACCTATGCAAAATAATAGACATTCCAATGGTCAAACTAGTAACCAAAACTACGAAAGACCATCACCTAAGTTTTGGTATGAACCTCTTTCGAGACCTGTGACAAATCAAAATGCCTCATTACTTAATAGTGAAGCCATGCAAATTAGTGGATCTGGCCCAACACAAGAAAATGGCATAAGAATGTTTCCAAATCCCATATTCGAAGCCATACGTGGCACAAGGAGGTTCACTAATCCTTTGTTCGAATTTATACCTCAGGGGTTGGAAGGGTTCCCTACGACTGGAAGAGACACAATACCTGTTCCAGGTCCTTTCGCAGGACAGGCTCAGAGGGGTTACCCATATCCTCAACAGCAGCCAGCACCACAGGGACAACCAGTCCCAAATGTGCCACCCTATGGACCAAGAGGACCTCAAGCACAAGGTTCTCCACCAAATCCTGTGTTTGTTCCTCCAGTAGTGGTTCAACAAGTACAAAATATGGTTCTTAGGGACCAAATTGCTGACATTGTTAGAAAGATGTGTGGACCGATGGCTTGGGGGGTTCAAACTCCTGTGTACAGGAAACCATATCTAGAATGGGTAGATAGGGTACGTGAATACCCAAGAGGATTTAGGATACCAGACTTTGCTCTTTTTTATGGGAATGGAAACCAATCAACGATGGAGTATATTGTTAGGTTCGCTGATCAATGTGGTGAATTTACCAATAATGATTACATGAAGTTGAGATTATTCCCCAATTCTCTAACTGGGGCAACCTTTGTATGGTATATTAACCTTACACCTGGTTCTATCCAAACTTGGCAACAAATGGAGGAGGCATTTCATGCCCAATTCTTCCAAACGGAGCTAGAAGTTTCTATGGCAGACTTGGCAAGGCTGAGTCAAAGGCCTGATGAAAAGGTTGCTCAATTTATTACCAGATTCAAAAGAGCACGAAACAAATGTACGATTGTCCTACCAGAGCCTGAGTTCGTGAGATTGGCTCAAAATGATCTAGAGTTTAGGTTTCGAAAGAAGTTTGACTCAACTGAGTTTAGAGACTTAGTGGAACTGACCTATAAGGTGTTTAGGTATGAAGCATTACTAGAAGAAGAAGAACAAGATCAAAGTAATGCATCATACATGACGTACTATAGGGATCCTAATTATGAGATTGATGCAACATAGATTGTAGGAAAAGAACTTGTGATCTGTGAAACATTAATTCATAAAGACATAACAATAGACCAGCAGTTTAACAAGAAAGACCTTCATAGGAAATACTCTTTCGATTTAATAAAGGCAGATGACTTTTTTTATCATTTGCTTGCTGCAAACTTCCTGAAGTTACCAAAAGAAGTCAAAATTCCGTCTCCAGAGGAGCTTAAAGGAAAAGTGTATTGTAAATGACATTGTTTTTCGAGACAAGATCCAAGAGCAGATTCGAAAAGGGAGTTTAAAATTCCCTGCTAAAGCAGAAAAGGCCATGGGGATTGACACTAATCCATTCCTAGAAATTGGAGAAGTGACAGCCAATGTTATTGTGTCAGACTTCCAGAACTTGTTCTTGAAAGAATTGGAAGAGGTCAATGTGCAAATGCATGTTGCCAGCTAGACTACTGTCAAGTAAGATGCTAGAAGTTTACCAGCTATTGGACAAGGTTTTTCAGACCAGAGAGAAGACTCTGATGAAGAGGCACTAGATGATAATTCTTTAGAGGCAGCTGCCATGCAAAGAATGTGTCCCAGATGCAGGTTGAGCTACAAGTGGTTGAAAGGGCTTCCAATTGATGAGAAACAATATTACAAGGATGTGCAGAGGCGTCCTAAACCAACCAGTGCTTATAACAAAAGGCCATATCCAACTGGTATTAGGCAGCAGCCGTTAATGGCTCAGCCAATAGCCGCTAGAGTGCACTCTAAAAGCAAGAGACCTCTACATGAAT